AAGAAGGACTGTTGTGTTGGTGATGACAGTAAAGTAGATTAGGTCGGATTGTTCTCTTAGCTTCAAATGTAGAATATGTATGTATCACCACAGTGAGAGGCTTCTATATAGCAAAGGAGAAAAGAAAGGGGTTAAATAGTAAATTTTGCAATTCTTAAAAACATACATTTTTAATATTGATGGTTATAACTGCTGGCAGTATTTTGATTTTACTTAGATGGATTTACATGTTTTAAAGAGACAGTTGAACAACTTAACATAGTCATGCAATAATTTGCTAGGACATAGCATTACTTCTGTTTTATGGCAGATTATCCACAATATATTTTATTCTCCCAGGTAGTGTCCTTGGATCTAATGGAGTTGATCATCAAAGATCAGTACCTGAGTAGGAGTGATATGTGGAGGTTTACAAAAAGTTTGGTGAGAAAATCATGCATATTAAAGATAGCTGTTTTAACATTTTACATATGTAATATTTGTACTTCATAGTAAGGTAGATGAAAAATGTTGTTTATTGTTAATGGCTTTAAAGAATATTTTTCTGAGTTATCACAAAAAATTGCAATTTTTAGAAAATGTACACAAGAACTTCTTTTTTATTTCAGCGTAATACCTGTATGTATGTGGGAAAGAAGGTTGATTTTATTGGAATGAGGTAAGTGGCACGTCACATCTCATTTACACATTACAAATGTAATATGGGTATGAAAATAGAAAACAGATTTTAGAAATCTTAAACCTGCCATTGGTTATAATGTAATCATATTTAATTTAAAATAACTGCTGCCAACATGGTGTTTTCAAGGCTGATTTGTACTTGTAATTTTGTAAATAAATTAATTTAACTAACCCTATTTTCCAGAGCTCAGGTGAATGAATTGTGGGCCAAAGGGGACAAGATGACATGTGGTTATGTTTCTGAAGATACCAGGGTATGGGCACTTATTGTTTATCACTTATATTTGCAATTGATTGTACAGTTTACAAGGTTATTTATTTATCTTTCAGAAATGGGATGTGTTAAGTAGTCTAATGTAGACCTTCCAAACTGATGTTAACTTTTTATAATAGGCATGTAGAGTCTCAACACAGTCAACAGTAACAACAGACACAATTTCTGTCACACCTAACACAATTTAGCCAAAGCTATGTGTGAATACTATCACTACCATAGTGTTTGTATCTATTTCAGATAGTGTATAGATCATCCACTGCTGTGGTGCACATTTTCCTCCAGATGAGCAGCGAGATGTGGGAATTTGATGCTTTTGGGGACTTATACTTTGAAAAAGCAGTCAGTGGCTTCTTAACTGATCTCTTTGTAAAATGGAAGGTTAGTAATGAGAATATTTATTAAAGAAAATTTAGATCTCTTGTCTCAATGGTAGACAAGGCATAGATAAAAGTCAGATGTGTAGATACTAGTATACTTGAGTAAAGAGTAGGTCTATGTTGCACTGCTGTGGAAAAAGATGAATGGCATGCCTTTGTAAATTCTCTTTTTGTTTTTCTTTTCAGGAGCAGAATTGTCTCCATGATGTGACTATTGTCATGTTTTCCAGGACTTTCTACGATGCGCACTCATTGGGTATGTCATTATGTTGCTTAAAAGTGGACTATTGTGCAGTGCATGTTTTAAGGGGAAATTTAATAATGGGGTTTGGTTTCAGTTTTTATTTAGCATGCAAGGCACTCACCCCAAGTTATGTACGTAGATCACTGGGAACCACTTTGTAAAGAAAACGTTTATTCTGCTGGCCCTTTAGCACTCAAGGAATCTACAGGCCCGGAAAGGTTCCCAGTTCCTTGAGAAATTTGCAAAATTTTACCAGCCCTCCTTCACTTTTATTAGCATTTCTGTGAGGCCATTGTTAATGTTGCTGACTGGAGAACAAGTCTCCGGTAAGGGTAAAGGCATGCTGGTGTTAGAGATAAGATTTAAGTTATCTCTGAAACTTAGGGAAAAGACTTAGACTTTCTCTATTCTGTTACATAAGAAATTTACATTCATGTTTTTTTTTCAAATTTTCAGAGGATTTTCCAGAAAGCATGAGGGAATGTATACAGCAGGATTACAAAGGAAGATTTTATGAAGACTTTTACAGGTAAAATTTTGAGAGTACTTTTCAGGTAGAACTTAATTATTTGCAAGCCAAATTGTTGAGCTGAAATTTGTTGGTAAAAGACTGTTGCCTTGACAATGTTGTTGATATAATCTCATCATATATTTAGATGATGTCATCATTTGACAGACATTCAATAAAAAAGAATCTGCAGTGTCACACACTGGACACCATAATATGCCAGTAAATATGTTCCAAAAGTTTAGCACTTAGTTAACATAGTTTGACATACTGATTTAACACTGCTTTTTGTTCTAGGGTGGTTGTACAAAATGAATGCTACAAAGAATGGACAGGTGTGCTTGTAGACCTGAAACAGTTCTTCATAGACTACCCTAAGACCACTATACAGTACCACCAGGATCAGGGCGCCAAGGTGCCCAAAGCATGGAACTCTACTGCAGCCATGGGGAACTTTCTGGAAGTACTCAACATGTCTCTCAATGGTTTGTGTTTTCTTTTTTCAACAATATCCATTAGAAAATTAGAAATAATAGTTAACATATTTTGTGTTTTATATTTTATCCTAAATCAAATATTAACATTGTCACAAAAATTTATTTGAAATATTTTCTCTCTACTCAATGGTTTGTTTATTGTTCAGCAATGTGTATTAGTAAATTAGAATGAACAGATATTTTGCATTTTATATTTTATCTGTAAATCAAATATTAATGTCACAAAATTTATTTGAAATAGTTTCCAACAACTTTATTCATTGTGATTTGGATGACTAGACTTTCAAGTGATCTTTCTGTTTTCAGTTTATGAGAAGTACTACATTGACAGGAATTTTGATCGTCTTGGGAAGGTGGCCATTGTAGTCACCCCAGGGGCAGGCGTATTTGAGGTGGACAGAGAGCTGACCACTATGACCAAACAAAGGACAATAGACACAGGTATCTGTTCCTTAAGTGGCTAAGTTAGTTTTAAGTTTAATTAAATAAAGATAGATGTATACACTGTCTCAGACAGAACAAGGAAAACAAAATACTTTTACATACTCATGTCTTCAAAATATACAAAGTATTTCAAGACTTCTACAGTTAACATATTTACAATTGTTTACAGTATTGTCATTTTATATATGTAGAAGTTAATTAAATATTAATATATGCTCAAGAATGACATCTACAGCTATACTGAAAGAGCTGACAGAAATTAGATACTGTGTGTGTAAAATATATTAAGCTGAATATGTAATGTTTTCAGTGCTGTTATTGTACATTCTATAGTGTTCTTTCTTCAGGTATGGGCAGTGACTTGGTGTGCATGGGGGAGCAACCACTGCATGCTGTGCCTCTCTTTAGAGTGAGTTCATTATTTCCGACTTGATTACACTTAATTTATCCTTATGCCTTCTAATTCTGCTTTCTAATTAATTTCATTTCATACAAATATGTTCAAATTGCTGTTTTAAAGTCGTATTTCAAATACTGGATATTAGAAATGTTTGTTTTTTTTTAACTAAAGGTTAAATCACATCATAGGAGCATATAGCATTATAGCATATATCATTATTGTGCAGTGGCAAATTGATTGAATTTTTCAGTTCCATAGCAGCACTCCTAATGATTTTCTGGATGTTGGAGATGATTATCACATTCCTCACTGGATTAACCACAGGTGAGTTGACTTTTTGATAATAATTTTGTCAAACATTCTTGATTATTTTGTTAATCAGAGGATTGCAGTGTTTTGTACTGTATCCTTAGCAGGTTAAGAAAAACAGAAAGATTGACTTGGATTGCATGCATTTCAATCTCAGTCTGATATTCTCCCAATCAACACCTGTGTTTTATGGACATTGATACCTGTAGCAAGTTGAAGGAAAAACTGACATGATTAACAGTGCCTTCTCTAACTAGTTGTTACAGTTATTATTATTATTATTATTATTATTATTATTATTATTATTATTATTATTATTATTAAATTTCAAAGGTGAGCATATAATGCCTAGGCGAATTGCCACCTTTATTTATACTGTATCAATATTTAACCCTCTTGAGAATAAAGATGTTTAAAAAAAAGTTGTTACAGTTTCTACATTTTCAGAAGCCATTCAAAGTTGGCAGCACACACTATTATTACTGTATAACTATAATATTTGATATTATTTTCAGTTTCTACACCTCCAGAAGTCAGATACAAACAACAAGTTCTTTATCATTTGTCCCTAGGATCAAACTTGCCAAAATGAAGGTTAGTACTATCATGGAGTGTAGTGTTTTTATCTCATTTCCATTTCTGTTCACATGCATACGTAGTGCTTATTATCTCTTATATGAATATCAGAGAATTTTATTTAAGTTCACTAATAAATCTTGTTAAATGGACAACTTAGAAACAACATTGTTATACCTCTCCCACTTTATTAAAATAATCACTGAGGCAAATAGACACTGGGAGAAATGATCAAATTATGCAGATCACCATTGAAACACTTGAAGCATGATGTTACTTTACTTAAATCTTTTTCAGCCTAATGTAAAAGATAAAGAAGACATTGAAAGTAGGTACTCGTATTGGGCTTCAGCTCTAAGCTCTGTTACAAGAATGTTTTCAAGCTAGACAATTTTGTGGATATTTTGGTTATTCTCTGTTTGAAACTAGATGTAAACATTGGAATATTGAGAATATTGTTTTTATAATAAAGAATAAAACTGTTTTTACAATTTTATTACTTGGTGATTTCTAGTAATTACAAAATCGCTTTTTGCTGGATTCCAGATATAGTGGATGGGATGAGTGAGGAGGACGACAGATTGCCATTTGTAGACTATGATGAGTATGATGCTCAGGTGTTCAAATTACCAAACAGCAGAACAAGAACACCAAAGTCAAGGTAAAAACTTAATTGCAACTTAACAACTTTTAAAGAAAGGGGAAAAACATTTAACACAGTAGATTTTTTTACTTTTTGTAGTCATATCTTTTATTTAACTTTATCTTAAGTATAATCAGATGATGAAGTCTTCAGAAAACTGTTTATTATATCAGAAATACCAGAAGTGCGGCTTCACTATACAGCTCTGCTAGAAAAACACCACAAAGTCTTAATGAAGCTATGGCTATTAAGAGGCCCCGCAATCGCACCATCTCAGATGATGTATCAGGTCTATTGTCAGATGACCAGTCAGTAGGGAAACGGTCACCCGCCATTGGTATACCAGGAAAAGTGAAGAGTGCAGATCTCCTCTCCACGTCTTTAGGAACCATTCCAATACCTCTAGCAGGTAATACATGACATGTAGTATGTAATATACTCTGAAGATACTTGGGCATAATATTCATGTGACTTCTTACTGCATATGACATGTAATGCATTATGCTCAAATCACTAGTATGTGGGATAATGAAGCACAATCTCACTCTATTCACCAGTCTGACAGGTGGTAACAATTTTCACAGCAATCCTAAAATTTTTAATGCTCAAAGCACTGTTGTATTTAAAATATTTTTAAAATTGATATACAGAGTAATTTTTTCATGCCTAACAAGTGATCACATCTTGTTTGTTGAATGATATTCTTATACACGTGCATCTGGACCAGAAGCTCATAATGGTTTCATCATCAGAAAACTTATTTTAAATATTAAAATATTTATTTTGTTTCATAGAAATATCCACTAGTCAGCATTCGGTGGGTTCGGAAGACAGTGACGACTTTATGGAACGTCCAGTGGTAGGCAGTGCAGGATTTCCTGCAGGACATCATTTGCCTGCACAGTTTCGTCACCCCCCTCGTAGAGCCCTCATCAATCCATTTGCTCCGTCCAGGATGAGGTTTAAGATGACTTCCAATAGAAGGAGATGGGTGCATGCATTTCCTCTAGGTCAGTGACAAGCAGTGAAAATGAACAGCCATGCAGTTCAGAGTCTTTGAAAATTCATTGTCATCATAATTGATGTAAATGGTTATTTTGCAGAAATACTAAAATCTAAAGGAGAATAATTTCCATGACTCATTGTATTGAACTCCAGCTAAGTAAGTTTTGAAAGTACCTGTAGAATCCAAGCTCCTTGAAAATTTGTGTACATATGTACTGGTGTTGATATTTATCTTGGAGACGATGCAAGAATGAATATTTGCTCATATAGTGAAACACATTCCATCAAATGCCCAAGAGCATGAATATTGTTCTTATTTAAAAAAATGAGCAGACAGCCTGCATCACAGTTGGATTGAGTATTTTATTTTATGTTATATTTTCATTCATATTTGTAGATCAACAGGGAGCAGCCATTCTTCCGCATCATCAGTATTCCCAGCGACACAGACGAGACCAGTGGAAAAGGACTGGTCCCTCACCAACTAGGGAAGTTATACTGGTAAGAATGAATTACTCTGCTCAAATGACAGTGTAGATATTTATACATGGTACTTGGTGATATTTAAGAAAAGGGCATTTCAGAGCTGTGTGCAAGTAGTTTACTTATTTATTTATTTATTTAGGCTGCCAACCGTGCGGTAGAGGCGAGGAAATACAGACACAGTGAAGGACATGACCATGAAATGGACATCAAAAGGTGATTGCTATGAAATCAAAAAGCATACACCTAGGTATAAAATACAGTTATTAATATTGAAAAACTGCTTGAAGCCAGTTGGATGATGAGTGATTAAAATGTTTCAGTTGTATAAGAAATAGTTATCACTTTGTTTTGAAGATTTATATGAAAATTAACTAGATTAAAGATTTGAGTTAGACTAAAAGCAAAATTTTCAAATTTGTGATACCCCTGTACTATATTCGACTTGTATGTGAATGCGCCCTGGTTGTCTTTAGGTCCAAGTCTCCCACAGTGTCCAGTGAAGGCAGTATGGAGAGTGAGATGACCACGCCAGTCCACCGATCTGTCAGCAAGGACAGTAATTTGCGAGGTCTGAAGACTGTAGATAGTACGGCCTCATTAACAAGTGAGGATGCTGGCAGCATTGTTAGTGTGATCAATGTGCATGAAACACGTATGTATCTCCATTTTTTTGCTGACATATTACTATGGTTACCTTGGGTTTCAGAGAACAGATGGCTCATTCGATTCATTATTGTTATTGTACTATATTTTGTTAGAGGTGTACACATGTCATTATAATTCAGTATTGCTGGCAAATAAGAAACAAACTTCTTGTCAAGATTACATCTGATTGTGATTATCAAGATTGTATATTTTCGTTTTCATCATAAAGAAGATGGTCTCTAGTATAAAAAGGTCAAATTTCAAATAATTGCTCTGAAACTTCAGGTACATGTCTGTTTAAGCATTGATGTCTACGTACCTGGTAACATCAATGACAATAAGATTTTGGCTTAGAACCACCCATTTCAAGACTTTGTTAGTGCAAGTTTGCTGCTGATTTGCTTTGTTTGGCAACTTCCCATGGTGGAATCGCATTGCTTACATAACATTTTTCAGGAAATTTCTGTGGCCCTGCACAACTTTATTTGCAAATGTTTATGTTTTAAATTCCAAACTATGTTTTAAAGATATGTACGGATCACAAGGTTTGCATATATCTTGTGATGTTCAGATGTCCATTTTTTATCATGACCAGTATTTCATTTTGTCACAGGGCGCAGGCATAAGTCAGGTATTTTTTTGGCTGATTTTTGTGGAGAAAACCTGTATGATTACATCCAAGCATGGAATATGTATTATTTTCTATATTTTTTAGAACTGATATGTTTAATTTGTTCATTTCATTTTATACTTTGAAGTTAAATAGTTTTTAATATTTATGCATCTTGATTTGAGTGTTTTTTTTTTTTTGTGATTCTTATAAAATGCAATTTATTTGCTTTTTTTCACATGTTATAGTATTTATTAAATATTATTTCAAGGCATTTGGACCCACATGTATTGTCTGTTTTGTTCTGATTTGACATAGTCATTGGTCATTGATTCATCCTCAATTATGATATCAAATGGTCATTTTTGATTTTATATTGGTTATTTCAGCCCATAAAGTTAAAGCATTTTAGCTTTCTCGTCAGTTTGTAAAATCTACCATTTATAACCATGATGGTCTTGATTCAATTATTAATTTTTAGTAATTGTTTGCTTTGTTATGGTCATTGCACTGTTTTTTTTTTTTTGCATTGCACTTGAAAACAGAATATTATGGAATCAGATTAAGACCCTTAGTTTCTTTTATAAATGATGACAGATACTAAACATTGCACTTTCAGCTTCTTACTCAAGTACCAGTAAATTGAGCTCTTTGAGGACTCCCAGCATTTCCAAAGAAATTGGTAAAAAATTAGCTGGTTCCAAATCTTGGCAGTGGGGGCCTGTGACAGGAGAGCAGGAATGGAGTCCAACTATTACTACTGGTAAGTAGTGAGCCCCTGCAGGTGTGTGTGCGTGTGTGTATGTGTGTGTAGAGGTTATACACACAATGGACAGTACAAGTGTCACCCCTGAATCAGAGTAATCAAATAATAATCATGTAATTAAAGTAGGCAGATCTTGAGTAGTTTTAATGCCTGGTCTACATTTTGTTTTTTTTTTGTGAAATTTGATGTTAGTAAAATGATACCAGGAGCATATCATTCCACAGTCATTTATCTTGCCCAAAGTATTGGTTCAGTAGGGGTGACACTTCTATTGTCCATTGTGTGTAGAAGCAAGCTCCTGGTAATGCTGTTGCTATAGTTAGTCACGTATATAACTCAAGGCTGTGCAGCCCTATGATGGCATTGTTTTAAGTTTGTCAGCCAATCATGTAGTGCCTCATCATGATAGTTATGACTATTTGCTAATGCAGTAGGTGTGAATGTTGAAGTAGTTTCCTGGTTTGTTTTCCATAGCAGTGCATTTCCATGTCAGGTAATTACATTACAGTGAATTCAGATGATGACCTTTACTCATTGACTGTTTCTCTATCTCCCAGGTGTGGACTGGCGCTCAATGAGTCTGCCAGCAGTGTTGCCCATGAGCACAGATTTCTTCCCGGACAAGAGAAGCCTTCACAATGACTATGTTATTTCAGAATATAAACTGCTGCCTGATGTCATCAACTCAGACATGTAAGTAATACATATATCACGAGTCAGCAAGATTAATGTAATAAATGTATATACATGTGTAATGAGCAGATATTGAGAACATAAGATGGTTTGTCTCACATTCATGTGTGATTTGTGAGTGTATGCAGGATGTACTACACCTGTGTCTTTTGCTTTGTCACAGTGGTAGAAGTTGCTTTAACTTACTTTTAGATATTTAGCCCTGACATCATGTACCAGTACTGCCCTTTATCATAGATTCCTCTTTAATTAGCAATTCTGTCTACCTTAAAAATGCCAGTCACATCTACAGGTTGTAATAGTCCTGGTGATCAGAACCAAGTGGGATGATAGTAGACATGACTTTTCTTTGGTTTTCTGATTTGAATGCATTGTACTGGATGCAGTTTTTGTTTTCATGAAATTGTAGTAATGCATAATATACAAATGCAGAACATTTTTTTTTCACTAAAATGATTCTTTATATCGTAACCAACTTGTTTTTAGATCCTATGAGTGTCGCAGCAACAAGAGACCAATGACAACTATGGAAGTATTCAAGGAATTAATATATCAGAGATTTGGACAGGTAAAAGGCAATTATTATGTGTATTATATATAAATGTATATGTAAGCAGGTTGAAAAAAGTTGTACACATATTTCTGATACCCATTTGTGATTATTTGACTTGTTGAAATGGTGAAAAAAAAGTGCTCTTTTTTTGATAAACCATATATATTTTTTATTGTTATCAAATCTGTTATTATTTTCAGGGCTTCCAAGTGATAGTAGGTCCTAAGAACAGCAGCCCCAACAATCAGAGTGACCTGAGCACTAGTCCCATGTATAAAGGAACTGCTAGCCTCATACGTGCACGCTCACGCACTATACAATCTGTAAGTTTATTTCACACGTCCCATGTGCACAATCAAGTTGTGTGCAATCTGCATGTTTACTCAAGCTACCAAATCTTTCTAGTGAATAATCACATGGTATACAAGGGGGGGGGGATTAGAGTATCAGAAAGTGCAGGGGTCCCAAATATAACATGACCTGATTTGAAAAAAATAGAGGCTACTCAGTTGGATAGGTTCATTTTCTGATGAAGATGCTCTATATAAAAAGTTATATAATGGAGGTTAACAACAATTTCAATACGAACTGTTGATTGAAGAAAAATTGAACTTCTTTTTTCTTAGGTCTGCTACATGTGTATGTCATCAAACAACTTTCCTGTTGGGCTGAATATGGTTTCCACCTCATTAAGCAACTATTAAAGATTGATATACATGACTTCACTTCAACTAAGCTAAAGGACTGCAGAAAAACATAATTGTGCTTTTATTTTATTTAGGAAGAATACCGCTTGAGTATTGGCCGTATCTACCACAAAGTAAATCTCACTGGACCAGAGATCACAGTGGTCCGATACAGGCCCAGGTAAGTCAAGTTTGGTTAACAACCATACCTATAACAACATGTGTAATTAGTAGCTTATATTGGTATTTTTCAAATAATATTTACAGCCATGTTTTAAAGTGTAAATTTGGTTTGCAAGCATACCCATAACATCACATGTAGCTTATATTTGTGTTATTCAAATAAGTTTTTTACCCATGATTAAATTTGTAGCATTGTTTGGATGCACATGCATTTAGCAGATATGAGTTTTTTTTTTTTTTTTTTTTTGTAAAACCTGTTTTTTAAACATTACACAATCATTTTAGAAATGTGTTTTATTATCCTTGAGACAAGGGTGTTTTGGCCCTACATCAAAATGTCATGAATAGTTTTGACACTTTGGAGACTATTTACTTTACCATCAATATATAAAGTATTTTATAGATATGTGCCAGTTGTAAATGTTTTCAGACACAATTGTTTAGGAGTACTCTATAGACTGACTAATACCTACAAACTTATATGATATTGTAAACCAATAAAAGAAAAACTTCAGCTGTCCATTTTAGAAAAGTTCATTATCTCTTTGCAGACACCCATACACATTGAGGACTGTGCATTACAAGTATCGCTTTAAATGTCCAGATTCTGTGAATTATGATGTGTCCTGGGTCACTTTCAAGAACCAGCAACTTGAGAATTACAACTGGAACTACCTAGATAACTACATATGTACCAAGGGAGAAGGGGACTATGGACTTATGGAGGTAATTGTCAGTTTTATTGTCTACATGTATATGATTAAATTATTCATTTTATGTTTTTTAAAATCTATTATTTTTTTCTGTCATTCACTGTCTGTCTGTTTGTTTATACTTCAGTTTAGCTGTCTGTCATTCTGTTTGACAGCCTTCATGTCACTTAGTTTGTCAATATTTTATGACCATCTGTTTGTCAGTTTTAATGTCAATCAGTTACATGTGTAGTCAGAATTTTCTTTCCATTCATTTCTATTTGTTTGCCTGTCTATATGTTCAATGTCATAGACTAAAATGGAATTAATTTGTCTCACAGTCACTGAAGTACTGGAAGAGCCGTTTCCTACTCCTGCCCTGTCACAATCCTGCAACCAAAAAGATAATAGACGGAGCAGAAAGGTAGTGTTGTTAGAAGTTTCTAATGACACGCTTGTATAACATAAGCTAAAATTTATTAACTTATTATGCCAAGATGCTTTAAATGGTAGTTTCTTCATGAAATCAGATTTTTACCGCCAACCTTTGTTATTCTAGTTTTGATGATATTTATGTAATCTTTGCTGCTTTGTGTTATCACAAAGCTTTTGCAATTGCTATTTTGTGACATAATACTACAAATTCCTTGCAATGCGCTCATCCTACCTCAGATGTGATGTATATGAAGAGAAATCCCTAGAAGAACAACAGCAGATGACAGAAGGATTCGTCAAAATTTTGGAAATGCTCAATAAAATCAGGAGGCCAGGACAGGGAAGAAAACCAGGACTGGTAAGAAAAAAAGTGTCAATTTTATAGTCAGTCTTGGTAACTTATTAGGTTCATTTTTGAAAAAAATTGCGGAAACAAGCCTTTAATTGACAATAGGATTACAAAGTTAAATAGTCAGTGGTATAGTACAATAAACATCTATTGTTAAATTGTTTAAATTTTCAGAAAATAAATTCAACTAGAACAAATGTTTGTGTTTTCTGTTGTCAATCAACATTTTTTTAAAAGAAGCATGTTGTTGCCTTATAGCATGTATCTACAGTTAATTAATAGAACTTCACAGTAACAGTTAAATTGAATAATTAAATAACATTGTTAATAAATTGCTTCCCCCTGCATGATTAATCTTAACCTACAACTTCATGTGTCACTTGTCTTATAGAAAAGTAAGATAAACATAAATCTTACTCCTAACACACAAGATGATGGGCGAGGTGGTAGCGGTGGCGGTGGCTTTATCAAAAGTGCTGATAATACTCCATCCCCTAATGCAACTTCTCCATGTATTTTAACCCCCACTGGAGAACTGAAAAGGGTATGCTTTCTATATGCTGATATTTCTAGTGAATCATCGTATGCTTCAGGGCAGCTTTCTAGTGTGCTGGTACAAATGCATTCATTATATAATTAGCATAGATTATAATCTTATATCTGTGAATTTGAGGTCTGATAAAACATACATTTAGCGATGATGTAATCTCCATTTTTTTTACCAATAATAGAAAAGGAAACATTAACAATCAGACAAAAACAATGTCAGAAGCTGGAAATTTAGCAATATCAATATTTATGTGGAGGATGTCATCATTTAGTTATTAAACTAAGTGAACCAATTATGTAACTTAAACTTTCAGTCAGTATGTAATATCTCAGACCTCAACCAAAGTGTATAATTGTATAGTAAATATCAAAGCATCATTTGTGAATCGTTACATTGATTGTAGAAATATTGGCATGATTGAACTGCCTTTTAACTGCTGTCTCTTGGGATCTTTTGCAGGTGGAAATGCATAAAAGATACTGGAAAGGTTTGGGGCTAGCATTTATTCCTTTGTCTTGGGCTAGTATTTATTCCTTTGTAATTCTTCGTTAATATTTTCTTCCCTGTTCACTAATAATTTTCCAGACCCCAGTCTCAGCAGACTCCACAGTGATTGCACCTGCTGATGCTACAGCCAAGACAGACTCAACTCCAGCCAAAGACAAGTAAGCATTGCCACTTGAACACCCTAATACACTGTACATTGCATTGTCACATAATTTTTAGAACTTTCAATATCCATTGCTTGTATTCCTCTTATATAGGCACTGGTTTGAAAAAAAATGCATAAGCATGCAGTTGTCAAAACCACATAGCCAAGTGCATTGGTCAGTAAGCCATTGAAAAAAAGGAAAAATGTTGAATTATTTACAATATGTATATATGTGTATTTATATAAGGATATGAATAACTGTTACATTAGCTATAAACTTTGTGATTTCAGTGTCAACCAGATTCAGGAGGAAAAATTGAGTATGTCATCCCCACTGTCTGCAGTTCTTAAAAAGATGCAAGACCCAAGGTAAGATGGTGTGCACATTAGGATCTTCACTTTAGGAGGACTTGAAAGTTACAGCTTAAATTACAAAGAGAACTTAAAAAGGGTTCAGAGAAAAATTGCAATTATGACTTAATTATCTTTACTAATTTTTTCTGTTTTTCTAAACCAGAAATAATTTTTTCTTACCTTCACTTTATCTTTCATGGTGACTTAAGTTTAAGGTTTAGTTTCTCAAAAAATTCATTCACACACACACACACACATATATATATATATATATATATATATATATATATATATATATATATATACTGAAAAGTGTTTTTTTTGTTTTTGTTTTCAGTAATGGTCTAAAGTTTCTACCAGTCCAGGAGGGTCTTCCTAGCCAAAGCTTTGTGAGTTTTGAGGCCACAGAATGGGTTCAGGAGAATGTGGAGGGAGCAGCAGGCTTTCCCACTGCTGTAGCTCTACTGCAGGCAAGTCATTAAAAAAGCATTGGAGAAAGCAGGTTGACAGTATGACCATTTTAGTGATTGGTGTTCTTTACTTCTGTAACCCTAGGCCTGTTTTACAAAATTTTAGAGCAACCCTCAATGTGAAGTTCTTTCATGAAGCCCACCCCTGCAGCAGATGTATCATTATGTTAGATAAGAAATGCAATGGCATGACTGTGATCAATGTGTTTCCACTTGATTGTGTTTTAGCCTTACAGGCATTGTTGCTGTATTTCATATGAGGGATTTATATTGATAACACTAAGTAGGCTAGTTATGTTTTTAAGGGCAGATACTGTTCTTGCTGTATCTTTGTGTTTTAAATAAAAAATTAAAAATTTTCACCATATTCCAGACAATGGTGGATGAGAAGATGATATGCCATGGCTGCAGAAACACCAGACACAGATATATTCATGGATTCTACCTCTACTTTGTTGTCACAGAGAAGGAGAGAGGTAAGAATCAGCCAAAATATCATGATTCCTTTGATTTCCGGATACAGGGGTTTGATGTCAAATATTTGTTGATAATTTTGTTGATAATTTTTCTTTGCATTTAACTGAACTGGATTTGCATTTTAGAGTGTGCTGATCATTGCTAAAATACACTGTTTAACTCTAAAAATGCCTAGAAACGCCAACTCTAGGATGCATTGCACTTTAAAAATAAAATACTTGGATCGAAACAGTTTTGTTCTACTATGAAAAAAAAAAGCTGAATTATACATATTTTCAATTCCAGTGGATTCAGACCCCCTAAGCTATGCACAGCAGGATGCACTAACATTTCAGAATGACTGGATTGAGGTTACTGTGCACAATAATATGCAGAAGCCTCATTATCAGGTTCCACCATTTTTGATGCCTTTGTTACCCCAGCGTGCAGGGACCACAGATATACTGAGTGTGACTCCAGAGGATGCCAAATCAGCACATGGCTGGGGTGGTAGAAGGTTGACAGATGAATTTGGTAAGTTAAATTTTTTTTTAGTGAAAGAAAAGAAAAAAAATGTTTATATTCGATAATTTATTATGTTTTGTTTGAATATTGCTGTGTCTTTTTGTGAAAGAAAGTTGAATCAATCCAAATTCCACATTTTTTTGATTGATTACATCCCAAAACAAATTTTTTCACTGTCAGAAACAGTGTTTCTGTGCATAAATAGACCAAATGTCCAGGAAGCAAATTCACCTGTTTTCCACTTCCTTAGTGATGGCATTTATAATTTTATTTTCATTCTAAACCCAAAGATTGTAAAAAATATACCATAAACCTTTCAGTAACACATTTGATCAACAGGTTAGCCCTTAGCCCTTCAAAAAAGAGGATCTTGGTTAGTCTTTCAAGTGTGATTAACTATATATACATGTATATATAAATGAGTACATCTTTGGCAGGTCAAACCACGTACAAACACATCAAGATAGACACAGACCCTGCAAGCAAGTGTGGCAGACCAGAGTGGTGCACCATGCGTTACCATGCCAACTACAACCCTCTGTGTGCATATGAACTGACCCTGAACTGGCTAGTGTGCACTGGCCCTGTGCTGGGAGAACTGGTAGGTCTTCAGAATGGTCAACTAAAAATCACATGTAGCATATTAATCTTATACTGACATGTTCTTCTTCTCTTCATATTTATTTCTGTGGGTAGGGATCTGCTGTTGGTCTTTTTGTGTAACTTAGATTTCAGCCTAACATTGGTTGCGAGTTATGATTACATTTATTGCAGACAGAGCCTGTGAACAGTTTCAAATAAATGGTGATCTAACTCAAAATGTCCGAGTGTCTTTAACAAAGTATCAACCGAACTTGTAATGCAATGATTGACCGTGGATGGCTCGGTTTTCTCATTATCACTGAGTGGGACACCATTATTAATTCTTATTCGAAGCCTTCTTGAATGCTGTGTTTTGGTTAGTTATTAAAGACACATAACTCAGTTGTTCTCTCATTTTCTGATTTTTGGCTCAAAGCAATTCAAATTCTTCATGCATTCTGTTGCTTAGGAGGCATTCCAGGTTAGACTTGAAACTTGATAAGTTTGTGGTTATGGCCTCCTCAACTGCCATTCATATTTTTGTGTCAACATTTTTCATTTTGTCATCAAGGTGCTAGTCAAAGTCAATAAGCATATTTTTCATTCTCAGTTCAAACTGACTGAAGAATGTCAGGAACTGAGGATCAGAGAAAGTTTCCCAATCAACCAACTGGATTAAAGAAATAATTCCAAGTTCCTCCTTCCACAGACTGACTGCTACAGAAACTTTTTGCCAGCCTACTTATTTTTTTCTATACCTTCGAGGCACATCTCTCAATCAGGCATAGCACATGGAAATTTGAAAATAAAAAAGCTGGCCTGATAGTTTCTCGTGCTCAGGGCTACTGATTTGAAGGAATATCATGCATATTGCCATAACAAGTATGTTGTAACACTTTACACAGTTATGTTGTCAATGTTGTATTATATGTCATCTTCACACCTGGCACATTTGTTTTTTTTCTCCTCCCAGGTATCTGGTTGGGTCAGGAAGGTCAGTACTTGCTCCTATCACTTGCTGGCAGTACCAGTGGATCCCTTTGCCTTGCCTTATACAGACAACTCTGACCCCCTCCGGGGTCCCATCTATGTCCCCCTCAATGTACAGTGCCTTACAGATGATGAAATAAGTCCAGTGTTTTCAGGTGAGTTTAAACACTGATTCTTCATAAATCTCTACTGATTTGTTTAAATGGATAAAATATGTAGAATTTTAAATTTTATATTGATACTAAATGTGCAAGTTTTTGGAAATTTTACAATATTTCTCGTAAAATAATTTTCTCGTTTTCTTGTAGAATATGACAGCGACTCCAGATCAGAAAGATTACGGTTGCTGCAGGAGTTCATTTTGAAGAGGTTTGGATTCATGTTGGACAGTTGCCTGGTGCAGACACCTCGTCCCCTCAACTACCAGTCAGATGACACCAAGCCACAGTGGGTCCACTGCACAGGCGGAATGTTTGTCATGATCCCTGACAGTGCAGCCTCGGCCATCCCAGAAAACAGCACGTGCCTCACAGACAGGAGGATGCCAAACCCCACTGCTATGCACAAACTGTTTACCAAGAGTAATGCTCATAAAGATTATATAGAGCGTCAGAGAAACCGCGCCGACAGTGTGAACATCAGCTTCAGTTCTGACATTAGTGCTGGGACGGAGGATATCAAGGTGGGCTTCCTGTGGTGCTGGAACTCCATGCTGAGTAAAAGATGGCGCTCACCAAACACTGGAGATGAGTCATTCCAGGATAAAGTGCTGGCAGATTTCAGGGCATTTTGTAGTAACCAAGACAACAGGTTACGTGAATTCTGGGAGCAGTGTCATGAACAGCTACAGTCAGCTACACCAAATGGGAATATGTGAGAAACTGATTTGAATCATTTTTGATTCTGGCAGAATTTGTTGCATCTAAAATAAAACAAACTGAAGCTCAAAGATGTGTTGTACAATAAGCTCAGATGTATTTTTACATACAGCATTAAAGAGATGATGAAATTTTTTCAGGAAAACTATTTTATGCAACTGGTGCTAAAAAGTGTATATATGCAAGAAATACTTGCATTATGTAACAAATAATAGTTTTCCTTTTATTAGAAATAAGAGTTTTATGTGTCAGTACCTGCTGCTATCACTGGCTGCCAGTACCAGACACCTTTAGCTGTTTATGTTTATTGACAGAAAGGAATGTATTTTAAAATCAAAAAAGGGCATTTAGATTAGAAAGTAGCCATCATAATGCTGCTACTGAGATTGCCGTTTTTATTATTTGCCAAAATTTGAATTGTTATTGAAGATATTTTCTTTTTTGAGGGGGGGGGGGGGAGTTAAATAACAGTTCTAAGTTCTATTCAAGTAGCTTTCAATGCTGACAAGTGTCTTACAGTTGTTATTAGTAAAGGTGAAAAGAGAAATAACAGAGTAATGTTGACAGTCAGATCAATCAATGATCTTCAGTAAACATACTTAAGCCTATGCTTAAGCCACACTTTATAATTAAAAGATATTTTTAAAACTGTGTAATTTTGGCCAGTATAAATACATCTTGTCAATCTATGCTTTACACAATGAGTCTGCTATAGTTTATGTCAGCAATTGGTCATTAAGACTGTTTAGTTATGACTGCTTTTGATACTTTCATTTAATATTGGATATGAATAGAAATAAAAGGATAAATACAATAGAGTTGGTGAACAGTTGGTGAAAAAGGTCTGGCATCATCATGTGCAAAAACAGGTTTTTTTTACCTATATAATGCTCATTCATTTAAAAGTATCCAATATTGTATTATTTCTATTATTACCTTTGAGTTGGAGGGATAAATGTCTACCCTTGAAGTGCAATGATAAAAGCAAGTGCTGACTTTCAAAGCAAACTTTTATATCTTGTGTAAACTACACAAACTTATCGGTTTCTGTTTTATCAAGGAAGCAGGCCATGTGGCATAACATAAAGATACATTGTAATTAAAATCATTGAATAAATGTCTCTGTTATTAGAGAGTATTTGAATACTGCTGTGTGAAAAGGGAATTTTTCTTTAGTTCATCAATAATGTATTGAAAGTTAGCACATTTCTTAAGACAAGGCAAATTGACTGGCTTGGGAAAATAAGATAGCACACAAAAAACCTTTCCCAGAGGACTATTTGGTCAACTTTGGCTCTAGATTACACAAGAAATCTATACAGTGAATGACATGTAAGGTTTTAAGTGGCTTAAGATTACGTTGGAAATGTAGTTGATTATAGTCAAGTAGTGAGGCAGTGTTTGGTTAGTTTCTGGTGGAACACCTGTCTTGAAACTGTCAAACATCAGGGATTTCAAGTAGATATAATTGTTACCAAAAAACTGATATAATAGAAAAAAGAGCAAAGAAGCATTATTTATTGTAGGCGAGAGCTGACACTTAATGTCCTTGAGTATAGATGAGCAGCTACATTTTGCTGCCTGGGATGGAGATGTCCACTCTGTCCAGTTAGCCTTAGACATGGGGGCCAGTGTTGACCGCAAGATGGCAGATGTGAGTAGCAAGCAGTATGGGTAGGTGGTTTTGTGGCAAATGTGTGAGAAAATATCAGAAGGGAGCAAATTTGTGGAAAAAAAATAATGAAAGAAATGTTGGACATACTTAGGTTTCTTCTTGTGAAAATTGTTTTGTACTTTGAAATTGCCTTGTTTTGAGCATTTTAACTCGGAGGCTAGCAAAAACTGACCTTATGTAACGGCGTGTTCTTGCCATTATCTTAGTGATGGCAGAATATATGCTCTGTGGAGTTGCCATCAGAGCTTCACAGAACATGGCGGACTGAAACAGCACTCTTTCTCTCAATCAGTTCAATAGAGAAAATAAGATTGCACCCACCAGACACCATGTTACAATTGTAAAATGTTTGTTAAAATGTAAACAAACATTAAAATGGTCATGAATGAATTTTTAATGCCTGAAAAGTGTTTATAAGTGTTTGAAAATATGCCAAAAAGTCTGGGACATGCTCGTAATTTCTCAGGTAAGCTGTTTACTGTAATTACTCAATCTTTTCAAGGTGGAAAACTGTGCATTTTACAGATGGTATTTTTTAAGTCAAAATTGTTTGAAATTGGAACATTCCTTTGGAGTAACAGCAACAAAATTAAAAAAGCAGGTTACTTTATAATTTTATTTTATGCAGTAAAAACACCACAAATGCTAAATAGAAATATAATGTAGTTGTGATTATAAAATTATGTGTATGAAAGTTTGCATCTGAAATTAAAACTGGGGTTGGAGGGTTCAGGGTAGGTTGGACCCCACGTCTTTTTCACTAAATGGCAGTCTCATCCCTGTGATTGGTGTCCTTCCAAATAAAACCTTGATTCTTTCACAGTTAGGATGGTCGTCTCTACATGCAGCTAGCAGTAATGGCCACACAGACACTGTGAAATGTTTGCTGGATGCTGGGGCTGATGTGAACCTACAGGCAAAGGTAAGGGCATATCCTACTTTACAAACCATTATTATTTTACCTTTTTTCATTAAAATGATAATAAAGTAGAATGGGCATTATTCCTCACTTTAATTAAATTATTGTTCATCTTCGACTTCAACAAATCTTAAGGATCAGATTTTATTGTTTAATATGAACAGTAACCCAGCTCTTTGTAATGTGAATTTCACAAATTTTCTGGTGTCAAAGTTACACTGAATCATCCGTTAGATTCCATAAAGAGCAAATGTACTGATGAGCTGAAGTAATATTTGAGCAAATTTAAAGGGTTAAAAACAGATGTCAGGTTAACTGGGTACTAACAGATTATTTAACTGTAAATGCCATGTGTTTCCTGTTTGAGTGAGTAAGGAAAAAAGCAGAATACGATCTTTCTGAAAGGGATCTTTTTATTTTCCAATGCTTATTACAAAATCATAAAGCTGCCACAAATCTGCACTTGCAAGATGCATATATAATTAAATTACAGAAAATATAAAATGGCTAAAAAAAGGCTCCTAAGAGAAGGAAGCCTTTCAAGCTTGTTGACAAAAATCCCTTTCACGTTATCTTAAGTGTACAAAAAGAACAGTAAAAATACAGAAGTCCAATGTTCATATCAAGAAAAAATAAAAGCTTGATATGGAAGACTTCTTACTTTAAGTAAGAAATGAAGACATACCAAAACATGTTATCCGATCCTACCAAACACATTATATTCAAAACTGAAAACTAAGGAAGCACAACACTTAAAACAGAAATTATATACATTTTTGTCCAACCAAAACTAGAACCCTAACAGCATTATTGTTTTCAACAAATGACTTACTTTTTACAAACTAATCTTAAATAATAAAGAGGCAAAACAAATATGCCTGCTTGAGATGTAAATGTTTCAAATATGTTAATTATATTCAACATTTGGTGAAAATTTCATGCTAATCATGAGATGAGAATAATAATTTACAAAGTTTACAGCTGTTGCCACTTTTTCACTTGGAATGCAACATGTCCATGAACCAAATTATTTAATTAGAGAACAACTGAACACACATGCCAAATAGATCATGGACCTGTTTCACAAAAGAACTAAAGCCTGAAATTTGGTCTCAACTTTTAGACTGACATTTTAATCCATTTTATGTCAGCTGTGATGCATAATATCAAAGATATGAATGCTATATCACTATGGCACATTTAATTTAAACAACTAAAGAAAAAATGTGATCGACTATGAAGCATATTTTTAAAGCATCTTTGATAATATTATTTTGTGCCTTACCTACTTCTTTGAATCTAACCTAGTAAGTAAACTCTAGCATGTGACAAACTAATACTGACAAACAAAATAACTAAAATTGCACACAGTATTTTAGTTAAACAGAGATATTAGTGTTAAAATAACCTGAGACAGTGGTCTTAAAAGTTGGTCTTAGTGCATTCAAAACATTTTCTACAATTCCAATCTCTAGTCATAACAAACTCGTCAGTCTCATGAAAAGATTACAAACAAGGTATTTCAATAGTTTTATAAATTTACTGAGCAAAAATAAAAATGCCCCATGTGAATTTTCTATACTTTTGTTCCGCATATAAAGTTTTTTGNTTTACAAATTTCTCACACTAAAATAGTTAAACATTTATAATTTTGATCAAGTTAACCTTGACAGTTGACTGTGTCTAATAAAAAGGATATTTTCCGGATATATAAAATTGAAAAAACTGAAAATGACATTGAAAAAACTGCAAAATGCGGTGCCTTAAAATAGTTAAACGTTAATAATTTTCACAAATCTTGTCAAATATTCATGAAATTTGGATAGATGATGCATAACAACAATAAAAATCTGTGATTACCTCATCAGTTGAATGTGTCTGATAAAAACATTTTTCAGAGCAAATGAATTGCAGAAAACTAAAAATGACATTGAAAAGACCACCAAAGTCCATGGCTTAAAATAGTTAAACGTTAATAATTTCACAAATCTTGTTCAATATTTGTGAAATTTGGACAGATGATGCATAAAAATAATAAAAATCTGTGATAAGCTCATCAGTTGACTGTGTCCCATGAAAAAGATTTTTTTTTAGACAATAAATTGAGAAAACTGAAAATGACACTGAAAAGACCAACAAATTCCATGGCTTAAATAGTTAAACGTTAATAATTTCACAAATATTGTTCAATATTTGTGAAATTTGGACAGATGATGCATAAAAATAATAAAAATCTGTGATAAGCTCATCAGTTGACTGTGTCTCATGAAAAAGATTTTTTTTTTTTTTTTGGACAATAAATTTGAGAAAACTGAAAATAACACTGAAAAGAATGTCAAATTCCATGGTATAAAATAGTTAAACGTTAATAATTTTGACAAATCTTGTCTAATATTTGTGAAATTTGAACAGATGATGCATAACAATAATAAAAATCTGTGATAAGTTTATCAAATGCCATTGTTTAACAAAAGTGTTGTTTATTGGCAATTTGTATGAGAAGAAAGAGAATTACAGAAAACAAATTTTTCAATTTTACAAAATATGATTCAGTCTAACATTTATAATCAAATGTTATGAGTTGAGTTTGTTTGTGTAAGAGGTAGCAAATAACCCGTAATTGTCCTCATGAAAACAATATATACCCATTCAAGACTTCTCCTTACTACCAATACCAGATGCAGATTCCTTGGGTTTAGCAGACCATTTCACATACCATCGTTGCCACATACCATCTATTGTACACATGTATGACACAGACCATTGCTCTTGCTGTTGTCTTTCACTGCCTGTTTTTTTTAAAGGTATTAGCCATGACCAGACAGGAAGAATCAGTTCAGCAAAAAAAGCCACCACTCTGTATGGAAAAGGTCACCTGGAAGGAAAAAGAACAACATATATGAAAAAAGTGGAAATTAAATTTTAAAAAGTTGCAAATTTCCCAGACCAAAATAGTTAAACATTAATAATTTTGATAAAGTTAGGCTTAAAAGTTGTGTCTAATGGAAAGGCTCATTTGGAAAAAGAACAATAAGTTTGAAAAAAAGTGAAAATTAAATTTCTTTGCCAGTTTTCAAGACATAAGGGATAGAAAATTTGCAAAGCTCAGTTTATGGTGAAAATTAGGTCAAAGGTCAATTTCAGGATCACAGTTAGATTGGCAGTATATGACATCCTATTCAAGTTCAATGAGGGTAAGAAATACTCCCCCTTAATCACCAATCACGAAGAATTAAAACAGGTCAATCACCAATCACGAGGAATTAAAAGCTATCGCTATTCATCAAGATAGAAAATTGCTATACTTGCAGGAATGCAAAGAATTCATAACATTCCCAGAATAATTTATTTTGTGTGTTGAATGACAGGAATAGTCTGCTTAGATCTCGAGTTATCCAGCCATTCTCATTGGTCAGGATTCCTGTGACAGAGACTAAGGTGATACAAATAGAACCAGAACATAGCGAACTACTCTCATTGCCACTTTTCTACCTGCCTTGTTAGAAGAGTTTGTTGAATTTATCTCCAGTGAATGATCGCCCTACAATCATGATACAAAGTTTGGGACTTTCTAGAACAAATTCCTGTAATGCTAATTAAACGTTTTCACGAATCACGTAGATTTGGAAGGGTAAATCATGAATCATGTTGATGATGTTGACGCATCATGCATCATGTTGACGAATCATGTTGATACCAAAAACGCAGAACAAAGAAGTTCCTGAATCACGTTTCATGCAGAATATTGGGCTCAAATAATGCAACACGCTTGAAAAATAAGGCCAATCACGCGTAATGCAAAAGGTATTAACTAGAGGATCAGAGAGGCGATACCGCCTCCAAATATTGTACCACCAGCTGGAGTTAAGTGAAAAGTAGGTCAAAGGTCAATTTCAAGGTCACATTTAGATTGCCAGTATATGACTTCCTATTCAAGTTCAATAGTAACTATGGACCTATCTCTGCCAGTTTTGGAGATAAAAGAGAAGCAAAATTTGCAAAGTTCAGTCCATAGTGAAAAGAAGGTCAAAGGTCAATTTCAAGGTCACAGTAAGATTGCCAGTATATGACTTCCTATTCAACTTCAATAGTAACTATGGACCTATCTCTGCCAGTTTTAGAGATATAAGGGACTAAATGTTATAATTTTGGAGTTACCATAATGTGCCATAAATTTCCTACAGAAAAAATTAATTAAAATAAAGAAAAGGTCATTTTGGTCAAAGTTCTTGAAATGGGAGG